TTCTTACAAAATTTTATAACTATATGTTGTTTCATTTTTGAGTTATGGGTGTTTAATCTGAATGTGAAGAAGGAGAAGAAGATGAAAAAAACTCCCTATCATAGCCCCATACATCTATGATGCTAGGGACCATGTCAATCCCTATATACTAAGTACTACCGTTCTTAGTGATAAACGTCCTGTTCTCTTGACGTGTCTTGCTATTGGAAAGCTAATAAACTCACCCTCACTCCTATAATATACCATACTGACATCTTACATTGTTATTTTCGCGTGTCATTGTCTTGCCTCACAAACCTACCACACACTGCAGCTACCAAGGCCCTGAACCGTGGCCTGGCAGAGTTTGTGGTGATGGCAGCAGATGCTGAGCCACTAGAGATCCTTCTTCACCTCCCCCTCCTCTGTGAGGACAAGGTACACTGTCTATATATACAAACTCATCCTCTGCTCTAATCAATGCCTCTCTCACTTTCTTCACTTCTCTCATTGTGTAGAATGTTCCATACGTCTTCATTCCTTCCAAAGCCGGTAAGCCACTTGTACATATACGTACACATTTCTACCCTATGTACATTTGAACTAATCACAGCATAGTACAATGCAAACTGCACTTAGTCCGTGCTGCGTTAGCTTATAATTCTGCCCCTTTTGGAATTGTCTACATCTGCCAGGTGTGCAATAACTCACATTCTCCTAAATAACTGCACTGCATAATCTTTCTTTTACACTAAGCCAACAGTAGTCCAATACTTCTATTATGACACAATGTAGGTGTAGAACCAGCACGTCTATACAGTGGAACCTCTGATAAGGGACCCTCTTGTAATGTCTCGCATTTCTTTTTTTGTTGTTGGCAAAACTGGACATGTATGCCGAGATAGGGACGACCTCTCTACAAGGAACAAAATTGTTGGCCCCATAGTGTCCCTTGTTTGGAGGTTCAGCTGTAATACACTTGTTTCCTATGTTATATTATGCAGCACTGGGTCGAGCATGTGGTGTGTCTAGACCAGTAATCGCCTGTGCAGTGACAGTGAACGAAGGCTCGCAGCTCAAACCTCAGATACAGACCCTCCAACAGAACATTGAGAGACTCCTCATATGATTATCATGTGACACCCGGGCAACAATTTCTGATGTTAAAATGTGATTTGTTTCTACTTTCTAGTTGCTACTTTCTAGTTGGAAAGTTGAAAAGTCTGTCCTTCACCACTTGTTCCATTAGTCCATGTACTACCTCAATAGTAGCCTTGGAGCTGTGCACACATGTGGGTGTATGTGTGGAGAGAGACAATAAAATGTGTATGTATACTAAGTACATAACCTCAGATACACTCCGAATAAAGAAAACCTCTCAATAAAAGACACATTTTTAAGTCCAACACTTTCACTTATTTAACCTCCAAAGAGAGGACAACCTCCCCAGTAAAGGACGACTGGTGTCCATTTTCCACTGACTGTATTTAGGGGCATGGGATACACACCTACAGTAGAAGTCCAAAAAACGTTTCCAAAATCGTTCACCGTTCACCGTTCATCCGTTTCCGACGGAACGGCGTTTCACCGTTCATCCGTTGACCGTTCGTGTTCGCGGCTACGCAACCCGCGATGCGCGCTAAAAGAATTCACCACGGCGGAAGTCTAGCACCGAAATCGACGGTTATTTTTGGCAACTTTTGATGCCGTGGCCTTTGCCAAGGCTTAGGCTGTGGTAAAAGCGGGCCTCGCTACTTCAGGATAGCGTACGGCCGTAACTAGAAAAAGTGGGAGTGGCACACGCGCGGATAATTGTCGAACGGTCTGAACAGTGAACGGCTGAACGGCGTTTCTCCGTTTCCGTTTTCCGTTTCTCCGTTCGAACGCCGTTGAACGCCGTTGAACGGTGAACGATTTTGGAAACGTTTTTTTGACTTCTACTGTAGCTAGCGTAATGATTTGATGTATGGGGGGGGAGTTTGTAAAATGTGGGCAAAAAGGACAGTGAGTTGGAATGGCATCTCACCAGTCTTGTGACACCTTTCCAAGTTTGTTCTCTTCTCGAGCAAAGCTGCCTCCTTTACCGAACCCACCTGTACCACCCTGGACCACAATATTATATAGAGAGAACCATCATCACATGCACATACTAATGTACTGCAAGGTGTATGCAAATGAAAGCCAACAACACCAATTAGAGCATTCTAAAAAGGAGCCGTCCTGGGTGAGACACAAAACTCATGACGCTAGGTAGAGTGCTCTACCATCTGACCTACAAGAGCAGCTCAGCTATATAACAGGCTCAAACTCTCCAATACCAAAGATAAGACACACCCCCAATTACAATTCATACATGTATGTAGTAAGCTCCTATGCATTAGTCTCACTTGAAACTCTGCACGCTCCAACTTCTGTGACAGGTCAGATATCTGTTGAGTGGTGTAGTCTGCATTCTGTGGATGGAGAGATTACAGCACACTCTCAAGGAACATGGCATAGCAGAAAACTCCACACTAGTCAGATGTGTGGGCAAAAGCTTGCACCTCAAATTTCTCAGTGGGGCAAGGGCAAGGATCTTCCAAAACCATTCCTTACACGGTGACACAGAACACAGAACCATAATCAGGACACCGATGGGACAGAAGAAAGTGTCCACATTAGTGAGGTATTTACTTATCTCAGGGGTCATATTTCATGCAACTTGGGGAAAGAAAGGTGTCCTTACTACTAAATGATCTTGAGAGAGGGTAGTTGGTGGACATGCACAGTGCATGCAGTGGTGATAAAGGACACAAAACCTCTCAATAAAGGTCACATTTTTACATCACTTTTCTACCCTCTGAAAGGGTAAGGACAACTTCCCTGCAAAGTGCAAACGCCTGGTTACATGTCCATTATTCGGAGGACAATGGTGGTGTGTATAAGTATTTTAGGGGTTCTATATATATACTGCACATGGTAATAGGGGACACATACACAGTACAGTAGTATACAGTACTGACAGTGGTGATGGAGCAGGAGGAGAGGGTGTTGACCCAATACTTGTTCCAGAGGAGGTCCAGGAGATGAGAGTCCAGGGAGGACTTGAAGTAGCTCACTTCCAGTGGGTAGTACCTTCACAGGGAGAGGAGAGAGGGAGATACAACAGAGTATTTCGAATGTATGGACATAATGCTGAGGGGCCCTTGTCATCCCTTATGATAGCTGAGTTCACAATAGCCTCAATGCACACTGGAAGGTAGTAGATCTATTCTTGCAACACAGTATGCCATGCATGTCATCGTTAAGCCTTTGTGGCATAACAAACGCAAGCATTATGGGAGAGGGAACACGAGCAGTTTAATTCTTCGCGTGTATTTAGAATCATGTAAAACATTACGGTAGGTGCAGTGCCCATAGACACCCTGCATTAAGACGACTAGGTAGGCTTACTTTGGTCGGTGAACCTAGCCAAAGGAACGAGCATTGTAGTGGTAAACATTGAGAAATGGGGAAACAGAGACAAGAGGTAAGTAAGAAAGAGCGAGGTAACTAAAGGGAGAAGGAAAAGGTGTCGTCTTGACTCACTGTTTGCAGTGGACTCCAAAATCCTCAATCTTCTCCAGTGGGATGGTCTGGTACTCTCCAGGGGCCTCGTCCGGTGGCTTGTAACCCTGCACCACACACACGCACACACACACTCTTAACTAACTCATTATGTTATTCCTTTTGTATGTATGTGAAACCTATGAGCTAGAAAGGCAAAGGCCGAACAAACAAATCAACTACACCAAGGACAGCTCTTTTTTTCCAAGGGAAATTTCCAAGGGAAAATAAAGAGCTGCCCTGGGTGGGATTCAAACCCACGGCACTCTGCAGTCTAGGTGAGCGCTCTACCAACTGAGCTACCAGGGCCACTGAGCAGGTAGGGGTTCAAATCTTACAACACAAAGGCAAACCTCAAACCACTGTGCTATACTCTCACTCAGTACAGTACGTGGATATTTGTGAAACGTATGTGACTCAGTCAGAGTTGGAAAAGAGATGAGTAGAGAGAGACATAATTATAGCGTAGGCTGGTAGCACCACACGTAATGTAGTAATAGACTATAAAAACTGTAACAGTGTGCTAGGGTCAGACCTTGGGGTATGTTCTGAAAGCTCCCAGGTTGACTTTCCCGGCAGACATGGTTCTGATGGGGTCCACCACGATGGCCACCCACGGCTCCTGGTACTGCTGGTTCAGCATCTGGGTCCCCACATCGATCCCCGACAGCCAGCAGCCGTAGCCAGGGTGACTGTGGTACCAGCCCAGGGCATTCTCCAGTCTACCCAACCTGCACACACAGAGCATTACCCCATAACTGAACCACTGAAATTTGTTAAATCACTCAAACATTTTTAGGCTAAGGTTGGTGCTCTGTCAGTTGCACTTGAAACCACTAAAGTTTGAATCCTTCAAAATTTTACCTGCTTTGCAAGGTAATATCTATGTATGATGAGATGAGTTACTAGAGCAGGAAATTTTCGTAAGAGAATTATTCCAATAAAGTAGCCCCAGTAGTCAGCACACACATCGCAAAATCATAATTATGTGCAAGTTTTCGTAATACAAGGCACTACAAAATTTTGCACCTTTCAAGCTACTGATACTTATGTTATCTGGCCTGCTTAAGGTAGAATCACCATTTCAATGGGCAT